TGCCACTCTCGCCTTGGCTCTCACCAAGACCGTGAGCCGCCCCAGAACTGATGCTCCCGCGTCCGGACCTTAGATTCATCTGAAAGAGATATGAACCATTCATTAGAACACCTTCCCGATCATAATCAAGGGATTAGAGAAATGATAGCACATTTATTAAAGCATTCCTTTAGGTAGTCCTATTAATTTACTAACTTAATTATCCATGAAGGGGGATTTCAGTTTAAGTAAGATGCTATTATTATGATGCATGCTTCGGCCTATACGTTCACTCAAGCCAGAATATAGCGGCATTCGTAAAAAATTTCGGCACATCGCACACTCACTTTCCGTATACTAAGCGATTTCTTACGCAACATAAGTCAGTGTACATACAGAAAACTGATTAGATAAAACCAATGCCGCTATCCTAGATAGACCATATTGCTAGGGCTTATACTTATTTACCTAATATAATCGCATCCTACTTTTTGCAAAACTTTTGTTGGTCAAATTTTTAAGTTTTGAAAAAAAGTAATGAAACTCGTAACCATTATTGGCTCTGGTACCAACTGTGGCAGAACCGCCTGAAATAGCACACTTACGGAGGCGCTCGTCTTCCACCATACACTAAGCACCCCAAAAGCAAGCTACAGCAGCGATATCCGTCGAGCACACCCCAAAGGAGAACCCGAACGATCCACATTTTCCCCAAGGATCCAATAATGAGAACGAGTTACAATACATGTCCATTTCATACATTAGAAGTTCTTAAAAATTATATTATTACATTACCAAATGTCAGAGTGCAGATTAATAAATAGCAGAATTTAGAAATAAACATCTAGCGATAGGAAACAAGGAATCCGTCTGAGCCCACCAGAAGAATCCTCCACACAATGATACTTCTCATGCATTACCTGCAACAGGGGTAAATAAACCCTGAGTACATAATGTACTCGTAAGACTTATCCGACTGGTGGGAATAATTTCCTGACTCCAAGAAATATGATAAGCTTTATGGTTTGCTGATTTTCTTTTAGCAGAAAGCAATACTAATAGTGAGTCCTTATTTATGTTATTATTATCAGCCGCATTAAGTTATTATCTATCCAGTCTATATAAACACATGTTCTACTTTCAAGCAAGAGTTGAGCAATCAGTTCCATTTCTTTTCCTTTTAACTTTCAGTTCTTACTACGATGCTAAACCGCAAACAAGCCGTACCGGAACGCCGGCGATTCACGAATCAATGCCCCTAGCTGGGTGCCCCGAAGACACACGCCCCGCTTGTATCCCAGGCACAAGCAGGACCAACCCATCACTCTCCTGTCCTGGATGTCCAGGTCCCCGTCCAAACTTGGACTCCAAGCCCTCACTCCTGAGTCCCGGACTCAGTGCGGTGCAAGGACCTCTACCATCTCTGCCTTCAATCAATCGGTCCAGAAAGAGCTGGATCCACGACAAGAGAGCAACAAGTCTTTCCTACGCCCATACCCAAGTATATGCTCGGGACAATAGATCTATGACTTGCCTAGAGCCATATGCAATGACCGGTCTTTAATTGACACAGACATGAAGCTGTTGATTAGTTGTATGGACTTCTAACCGATCTAGAGACAACTCATAGTCAAAAGCACCCAAAGCATCATCGCGCCAGCCAAGCTCGTGAGAAAACGAATTTCAATCTCATTTTTGTGGAGCCAGGCTGGTGAAGAAATCTTGCATGAGCTACATGCACGAGGATAGATAAGGAGCGTATGAAATTTTTGATGAAAAAAGTTGGGTCTTATAGGCTCTCTCAAACTATGTGTAAATATGGTTATATCAAGCGTATCAATGTAGGCCTACGTAGTGCATTTGGTTATTTCGTTTTTTTTAAAAAAAAGAAACACATCTAAGTGATGAGACATGAAGTGGCTAAAATCTATTTAGGTAACATGGAGGAGAAAACATTCCGCTAAAATTATAATCCAATTTCAAACAAGCCTCCAAGGAATAGGCATGAAGTGGCTAAAATTCTAAAATATAAAAAAACGACGCCTGAGAGATTCGAACTCTCGCGGGGAAACCCCATGTACTTAGCAGGCACACGCCTTAACCACTCGGCCAAAGCGTCGCTCTGTTCTAAAGTGGCACACTTGTTCTTTGTAATACCAAACATCAGATTTAAACCGAAATCCAAAGGCTTGCACATGGATCATGGTATAATGCAGGCCTGCTATATGTCTCTAATCTGACATGGTTGGGCCTGGCGCACCAAGCTAGCTGGATAAAAATTGCATTAAAAAGTAGATCCACAAGAAATGAATGAGCAGTGTTGCTAAAAAAAATAGAAATCTCCTCCGTTTCAAAAAAAAAAAATAGAAATCTCCTAAAAAAAGAAATGAATGACCAGTTCGTAGAGAAAAAATCCTTAGAAAAACGGTCTCACACTTAGAAAGGTATATTTAAATATGAGACACGAAGGTTTCTTTACCCAAACCTTATAAACCAGGCAGGAGGGTGGGATGCTCAGAGATGGGTGTGGGTTATGAGTAAAAGACGTATAAAATCATAATTTTGCTCCTAGTTACGTTGTATTTGATTGATTCTCAACTTCCTTAAGAAGGGTAATAAGGGTAGTTTTGGTCATTAGATTAGATTTTTATTTTCACATAGCAAACCAGGATAAAACCTTTAGAGAAAATTCCTTCGTTACCTTTGAATTGAAAATCGTCGACTTCATTACCATCGATTTGTAATTTTGGTTCCCTATGTGTCATTATTGTTCGTTTTCTATGCCCTGTTCGCTTCGCCGAAAAGTAAGTTGAAAATACTGTTCGCTGATTTATTGTGAGAGAAAAACACTGTACCAATGACTGATAAGTCATGCTGATAAATTCAAGCGAACAGAGCTGACTCATATATGCACGGTTAAGTCTCACCTAGGCAAATACCACAAACACTTTGTGTGCAACATTACAAACATCATTAAGTCAGCCAAGGGCCCCATGGCCCGTTCGAGCGCTAACCACTAAGCAGCACACGCTGGTGCTGGTTTGTGTACACGTGCGTGATAGCGACAACACAAGCCCATGCGGTGAACTCAGGGGAGACGAATGTTGATTTTGTATAGAATGTCACGTTGATGGCATAGGAGCGAACAAAAGCTATAAACTAATGTCAACAAAAGAAATGCATAATTTTCAATGGCACGGAAGGGATGCGTATTATCAGAACCTTATATCCCTATATCGTACCCACCCATTCCTATCCCATTTTATTTCCCTACCCAAACCCATTACACATCATATATAACGCCGCTGCAGGTGTTCAGTCTGTTCGGTTGGCTGATTCATATCGTTGCTGGTTCGTTTACGTGAAAGAGAAGTACTGTTGACTGGTTCATGTGAATAGTGTATATATGAGGGGGCTGGCCAGCCCAGCCAACCAGCCAGCCCCAGCCGAACAGGCGGATTGTCTGGATAAAAACATCCTTCATGTGGATCGAAGTGTAATTTTTTTTTTGAGAAAAGCAAGAGGCGAAGCCCCTATTGAAGTCATTTTATAAAGCACAAGTATGTACTTACAGAAACAAGGAAAGCTAAGACTGTGTTTAGTTGGAGGGAAAGTTGGAATTTAGGTATTGCAGTACTTTCGTTTTTATTTGGCAAATAGTGTTCAATCATGGACTAATTAGGCTCAAAACGTTCGTCTCGCGATTTTTAACCAAACTGTGCAATTAGTTTTTTTCGTCTACATTTAATGCTTCATACACGTATCGCAAGATTCGATGTAATGAGTACTATAGCACTTTTTTGGAACTTTTTTTGCAACTAAACCAGGCCTAAAACAAAGAAAGCAGGTCCTAAAGATCCTAAAGAAATGATTCCTTTGAGGACTTGCACCTAACAGCTAACTCTGCATGAAGCTAACATTTTCCAGCAACGAAGAGAAGGTCTTTTGTTGTAAAAAAGTACGTATAGTACTAATTTTCATAGTCCAATCCACCAAGACGCAAAGACAATATGCTCGTTGACAGCAAGACGTCTCATTTTGTCAATCTCAAGATCTGCTGATCCAACCCGGTCTTTTGACTCCTTTTGAAGGTGTCCATAGAAATATGGTGTGTGTGTGCGTGTGTTCACATATGTGAGTGTACATGCATGTTTATGAGCGTCTGCGTCTATACTGTGTTTCCAAACAAAAGAGAGGGACTTGGCCAATTCCACTCTATCTATCACCTCCAAATTCAAGTTCCGGTCTATCACCTCCAAATTCAAGTTCCGGGTCACACCAAGAGCGTCATCATCGCACACTGAAGGGACAACGGAAGAAAAGATGCTCTAGAGTTTCTTCAATTGCGTTGCTAGCCTATTAGAGAGAACGCGATTGAACAAAGGTACTGAAAATTCTGCCCCCTACGAATTTGATGTGCTCTTTTAGGCTCAAATTCTCAATTTGACGTGAGTGTTTTGTATTTTCTTGAATTTATTTTAGAATTTTATAATATTGTTCTTTTAGTGGTAGACGTTCCCTTTGATAACAATGCTCTTGTGTTGTATGCTGTGCGTTTTTGAAGAAAAAAATTAGCGCTGGGTTTGGTTGACGACCAAGACCAATTATCGGCACACCCATCCCAATCTGAGCGGGCGAGGGGAAAAACTACGCGGACGCCGGGAAACTACTCCACGTCTCCGCCGCATCAGCTGCGAATGCGAGACAAGACCACGCCGGCGGGGACCCCACCATAGCATTTCCAGGCCCAGAATTTCACGCGCTGACGTGGCTGCGCCTTACGAAACACCCACAGCCCGCAGGCTACGGGGCCCGCGCCGCCCGGCCGAAAGGGCCGAAGTGAATGACTGCGACTGCGGACTTTGCGGAGTGCTCCCGCAACAAATCCCGACGCCAAGTCCAGTCCCCCCAACCAAAGCAGAGGAAAAAGCCGAGGAGGAGACGACGCGGAGGAGCCCCCGACCCGAAGGCGGAGCGCCCCACAAGCCAGAACCCGGCGAGGGGGTCGGTCGGTCCCGACCATGTCCTCGTCCGCGCCGTCCCCACCCACCGGCGCGCCGCCGGAGCCGCCCCCGCCCCCGGAGTTCTACTGCTACGAGTGCGATGCCACGGTCTCGCTGCCCGCCGAGCCGGTCGCGCCCTCCTCGGCCCGGCGGCCCCTCTGCCCGCTCTGCCATAGCGACTTCATCGAGGAGAGCCCTAGCACCCCGTCTCCGCCTCCACCACCTCCTCCGCCGCCGCCGCCCCCACCGCTGCTCTTCTCCGGCTCCTCCTCCTCCTCGCTGTCCGACGACCCCGATGACGACTTCGACTTCGTCATGGACCCCGACGAGGCGCGCGCCTACCTCAGCCGCCTCGTCCACCGCCACCGCCTCCAAGACGACGACGGGCCCTTCGACGTCGCCGCCGCCGCCTCCGCCCCGGCCCCGCCCCCGCCCCCGCCCCAGCAGCACGGCCACCTCCCCCGCCCCCGCCCCGGCCGCCACGGCCACGGCCTCGGCGGCGGAGGGGAGCCCCCCGCCATGGCCGCCACCATCGCCGCGCTGCCCACGGTCGAGGTGGCCGAGCCCGCCGCCGTCTGCGCCATCTGCAAGGACGACCTGCCCCTCGCCTCCGAGGCGCGGAAGCTCCCCTGCGCCCACCTCTACCACTCCTTCTGCATCGTCACCTGGCTCCAGATGCACAACTCCTGCCCCGTCTGCCGCTTCCGCATCCCCTCCTCCGCCGAGGACGAGGCCGCGCCGTCGGAGCAGGACCCGCCGACGACCACGCAGATCACCATCCGCTTCACGACCACCACGCGCCGCCGCGTCCGCGTCGGCGGCGACGCGCAGCTGGCGGCTCCTATCTCGGCGTCGCCCACGCAGCTCGCACAGGCTATTACCGGGGATGGAGCTGGTGGACCTGCCAATAGCGGCGAGACTGTGTCGTCTGAGTGGCCTCCGCACCCCGAGTCCGATACTGTCATGTCGGAGGCACGCGAGGGGGATGCCTTTTTTGATTGAGCCAGAGGTTCCAGTCGTCAGGTAAGCATATCGCAGCAAATCTCTCAACTTTACTAGCTAAATTCGTATTCTATCCTTGGAGCATGAATTGAATTGCTTAGCTTCAGTAAACTAAATCGTTTTAGTTAGTGGAGTCAATGGTTTAGGTATTCTGTGATAAGTGATCATCATGTCATGTGGTGTTGGTCCTGTTACATACTCTTCTTTTTTTCTATATGGTCGTGTATTGTCTGCTAGTTGATCAGTATATGCTTCACTTGCTGATTTCCTTCTGTTAGAATTTGAATAATCAATTGCCCAAATCTGAATTCTGTAGGTACTGCAAAATCAAAGCTTGTCAATTAGATGTTTAGGTGCTTTCTGCTGTTAATTACATGAGCCTTTTTTTCCCATGTGTTATCAAATACTATGCGCAGCTATAAGCATTCTTACAAAATTGATGTTACTTTATGTTGATTTGGCTCAGTGTTCTTAATTGAATTTAAGCATTTATAAATTATAGCTTAATTAAAATATCCTAGTCATTTTAAATGAGAATTGGCATGTTGCTGTTATCTTAGCGCTAATGTGAGCCGGAGCTAAGCTGATAGTGATTAGTAATTACTGCACAATACTGAACATGCTATCTATTTGGAGGTTTAAGTATCAATCATCCTGTCTTACATGTTTAAGGCTAGAAGATACCGTTTGTGTTCAACCTTTTATTTGCCTGATGTGGCTGTGTGCACAAAAACATAGAAAGCTAATTTTTTTCTGCTGAATTTAGATTGAAGAAAAGAAAAGTCAGAGCAAAGCTAACAATGTTGATGTGGATTTCGGTTGTTTGATTGATGGAATGCACCTGTTTCATGTGCTAGAATGTTCATTTTGAGTGTTGTTTACGATCGATTCGACTTGTTTACTTGACTTTTGTCTAGTATCTTGTAGTATTGATTATCTGGATTAGTATGTTTTTATTAACGAGGTGGTAGAAACAGAATCTGCAGATCTGCCTTGATTTCATTCAAAAAGAGTGAAACTAGTTCATGCTACTGTATGTTGATACTTGATAGTATAGCAACCTTGATTCCTGAATCCCTTTTCTTGTTTTCATGTCTAATAAATATATCTTATCTCTTTATTGGTCATTTGCTAGTTAGTTTCTTGACACCTCCATTATTTCTTTGTTATGCTTCCTGTTCAGTGCATGTGTTTTAGACCTTTTTTTTTTTACTTTCATGTGCTTTAGACTTCTAGTACAACATGAATACATCTATTCCAAAATCGCGTCTCTCTTATTATAACAAAATTTTGCTAATGTTCTCATATGAGTGCATCATTCTTGCTCTATTGTGACAAAATTCTGGAAAAACTAATTGTCTTATTCATGTATAAAAAAACTGACCATCACAAGCACAAGCTTAGAGACTTACCTAGTTAATAGAAATTATGTGCATTCGACAGCAAAGAAGTTGATAAAGTAGGATCTACGCGTAACTGGCCTTGGACACCTACATGCCTATCCACCTTGTGATTGATTTTTTTTCTTTCAAGCTTTTGTTGTTTGCCTCACCCTTGAGAAGAAGTTAGCCAATTGCTTCAACAGATACATGCTGTTATTTTAAGTAATGAACTAATGATGGACTTCTTGACTTGGGTTGCTCATGTGAGCTTGCTATTAAGAAAGCTGAAGTACACTGCTTTACGAGTGATTGATTGTGCTAGTACTTAACTTTACACATCACAGAAAGTACCTGTATACCGCTAGAATTAGTTGACACAAATAAATGTCTATCTTAATTTCTATTTTGGTGGATGAGGCATGTAGTGGTGGCAAACTTGCTGGGCAACAAAAAAGCAGGGTTTCTCCTGTTGTGGCATTCGTCAACTTGTGTAATGAATAAATCCTTCCATGTGGAACTGAACTGATATTTTAAGAGAATAAAGCTATAGGCGATTGGTTCTTAAAGTGCCACCCAATAGCATCTTTTTGACTTTCCGATCCTAAGAGCCATTCTTATGTGTTACAGTTTTGCTGTTACTGTCTATTGTTCCTTAATAAAGCTTGTAAAGTCTTTCAGTTGTCGAGCTCATATGCTTCTGCCCCTTTTCAGGTGATAAGGTAGCTGTTGTTAGCTGTCAGCCAACAAGAGTAAAAGGAGGCCACCATTCGCTTCCTATCTTTGTCTCGGACGAGGTTTCTCGCAAGAAGATGGCATGTTGTTAAAGCTGAACTAAGTTGTCCTGTTAGGAGAACAAGAGCATCCGTTGCGTGGGTTCTCGGTGTCTTGTATATTGGTTAATAAACATATTTATTCATAATAAATATAGTCATGTACAATATGCAGTATTTCGTTTCCCCGTTACCCTGCAACTTGACCTGCGTTTGTAGGTAAATATGGGAATGCATTGGAGTCCAGTAGATATGGATTATACTCTGTTGAAGTGTTGATGAAGCTGCCTTGTTGCTTGAAGGCGAGTTAGGCTGGGTTTGTAGCAATGAAGTTATGACCCCTGAATTCTGTGGTTGTTTGATGGAAAGTAAGGTTCCATCTGGTCGAATTTACTACACATTCCTCCGCATACAATGATATGCCTTATTCTTTTGGTGGTTACTTTTAAGGGTGGCCAACAGATCGATGTGAGGATCAGACTTTGATCTGCTATGTGCCATGAGGACTGCATGCATTGGATCGGATTCAAATAAAAGGATGTGTTGCTGTGTCGGCTGTACTGGTCTTGTGCTGCATACTGTTAAGGGATGCACTCACATAGTTATGAGCATATATATATACATTCGAAAGCAGGACAAGGATATCCCTGCAAATATCATGCCTGCCAAATCTTGTCTTCTCAAGTTATACATCAGAACTACAAGAAATTCAAATTGTGTTGAAGAAAATGCTTCATCAGGATATGCAGCTGTTTCCCAGAAACATCAACGAGCAATGGCTGCACAGTACGTGTTTATCACTCACCGCACTGAATGACCTTGCTTGGATTTTCGAGAGCTAGATTCAGGAGGTCAATGCAGCAGAGTCCGTGTGGAGGACCTTATTCTCTGCAGATAGCTTAAAGCTATGGAAGACTTGGCGCAGCAATGAACCAATCGAGTCACTGGCCAAACCAAATAGTCACAGCAAACAAACGACGAATCAAACAGCCACAGCGAACAAATAACGAGGCCTTTTCGGATCGCAACAATTTTAGAGAAACATTGGAACTGGGAAAATTCGTCAGGCTCCCTGAGGACGTCCTCAATAGCAACTTTTAAATAGCTAGCTCAATAGGGTTTAGAAATAATAAAAAAGAATACTATAGTAGAGAGTTATGTAAACCGTGACAGAGTTGTTTCTAAAAAATCGTGCTAGACTAGCTATTTGAAAGTCGCTAACTATTTGATCTCTCCTTGATAACCAATATAATTCTTTCTATGCTAGCTATTTAGGAACCATTATGACACCCTGACACCTGAGCAGTAGCTATTGAAACGATTGCAGTGGACCAAGAACATGGAATCGTACACGCAGGCATACGCTTTTAGAAGCATATGGAACCTTTACACTTATCTAGCATATCATGGGCATGGCTTAGATAGATGTGATAAGAATCTTGCGATCTCTTTTTCTAAAGATTCCCATGCCATGAACAAGGGTCCAGACGCCTCGTCAAGTTGCCTGATTTGTACTAGTGCCATGAACTAGGGACAAAAGGTTCCCTCACGGTCACCATTTGTCTTTCCTGGAGCGTAATTCGTGGGTGTCCAGTTTCCTTTGCATATTGGGGTTTCAGTCGAATAAGTATTTTTTTCTCACAATAAATCAATTAAAATTATGTTTCGATTTATTTTTTCAGCGAAGCGAACGTGCCATTAATCTTTGAACTTTCTTTATCGTAGTGCACCTTGCTCTGGATATTCTGACGGATACGACTGCGACGGCAGCAAACGGTAGCACAGGAATCATGAGCTTCATATCCACATTCGTACCCTTGTCCTGCCCCTGGATATGTAGTTATTCTCCCTAGATCCTTGTACCGACACTAGCTCGATTGTACATTTCCGTTGAACTCATTATGGTCTCGTCGTGGGAAGTGAGAAACACTCTAGTCTAGCGAGTTTTTTCTTCGCAGTATGTAAGGCAGTCCTACTACGTACAATTTCTATACCTATTAATTTTAATAGACACTATATATAGAAATTATAGTCCCAATGAATAATTTCTATAGAATAATTTTTTATCCAATCACATACATTCTCACTCTATTCTCTACCAATCACATCCCTTCATGTCTTGATCTCGTGTAGACATGGTTTCTAATTTAGATCCGGTTTCTATGATTTTTGCTCTTTCTCTTTAATAACTACCTTGCCACATCAGCAAAATGCCTAGGTGGCAGTACAATTAATATCTATAGAAATTATGGTGATTTCTGTATTGGGAGTGCCCTAAGGCCAGTCTCAGTGGTGAGTTTCGTAGCGTTGTTTTCAATGATGCCACATCAAATAAAATGCAATGAAACTTGAATGAAACAACCACTCTCAATGCATAGTTTCATTCTACAGTTTCATAAACATTTAATTCTATAACTCATTGGTTCATTGCGAGTTGATAACTGTGCCAAGAGAGTTTTATTTTCATGAAACTCATTTCTTCTCTCTCTTCTTAAGCATGGTACCATATCATCAAAAAAATGTCTACGTAGCAACTTATTAAATGCAGATGAAACTTGAATGAAACTTGAATGAAACTCCGACTGAGACTCGCCTAAGGTCTTAAATTTCTTAGTTTTCTAGATGTTTAGAACAATTTGTTTCTGTTACTAACCTCCCACAGAAACACTTGATTTTGCAATACCAAATTTATAGAGCATTGGAAATCATCTTATACTCTACAGTATACACAACTGACTACTCAGTGCCTCACTTATCTCACTGGGTGTTGCGTCCGGTGCATAATCGTTGGATCTCTTGTGTGGGCTATAAATAGATGGTGTGGTCGGTCTTGGTCACTCTACTATGA